TAAACTTCTCTGTCTTGAAGCAATCAACCACACATCTTTTGTGCAGACGTAAGTTACTTTGTGAATATTTTGGGGACAACACATAATCTTTCGCTGTCACACCGAACTAGTCAATCTCTGACTCGCAGTTAATAAACTATATAGGATCTTTTTAATGATTCACATGAACTGATTAGATCAAAAGGTTGCTCCTTTGTTGAAGATCTAGGACTAGTCTTGTGTCTGATTTACAAATCTCTGATCCAAACTTGCTTTGACTTTTACAGGAGAAGATTCCTATTGAGGAAGTTTTCCAGCAGCTGAAATGTACCAGGGAAGGTTTGACGAGTCAGGAAGGGGAAGAGAGGATTCAGATCTTTGGCCCCAACAAGCTCGAAGAGAAGAAGGTATAAACTTTGCTTGCTTTTCAGACATAACATGATTTAGTTTTTGTTGTTTTGGTTACTGAAGTTTGTCAATGAAAACAATTTACAGGAAAGCAAAATCCTCAAGTTCTTGGGGTTCATGTGGAATCCTCTCTCGTGGGTGATGGAAGCTGCTGCCATCATGGCTATTGCTTTGGCTAACGGTGATAATAGGCCTCCAGATTGGCAGGACTTTGTTGGTATCATCTGTCTTCTTGTCATCAACTCTACCATCAGTTTCATTGAAGAGAACAATGCTGGTAACGCCGCTGCTGCTCTCATGGCTGGTCTTGCTCCTAAAACCAAGGTTTGTTTCTCATAAGAGAACGCTTTGTGAATCAAAGTTTCTTCTAGAGCTAATGTTTGTTGTGATGTTTCTCTGTTTTCCAGGTTCTTAGGGATGGTAAATGGAGTGAACAAGAAGCTGCTATCCTCGTCCCAGGAGATATCGTTAGCATCAAGCTCGGTGACATCATCCCTGCCGATTGTCGTCTTCTTGAAGGTGATCCTTTAAAGGTTGACCAGTCTGCTCTTACCGGAGAGTCCCTCCCTGTGACCAGGCACCCTGGACAAGAAGTTTTCTCTGGTTCAACCTGTAAACAAGGAGAGATTGAGGCCATTGTCATCGCCACTGGTGTTCACACTTTCTTCGGTAAAGCTGCTCACCTTGTGGACAGCACAAACCAAGTTGGACATTTCCAGAAGGTTCTCACAGCCATTGGTAACTTCTGTATCTGCTCCATCGCTATCGGTATGGTGATTGAGATCATCGTCATGTACCCTATCCAACGCCGAAAGTACAGAGATGGTATTGATAATCTCTTGGTCCTGTTGATCGGTGGTATCCCCATTGCTATGCCCACGGTGTTGTCTGTCACCATGGCTATTGGATCTCACAAGCTTGCTCAGCAAGGTGCCATCACCAAGCGTATGACTGCTATTGAAGAGATGGCTGGAATGGATGTCTTGTGCAGTGACAAAACAGGAACGCTAACCCTCAACAAGTTGAGTGTGGATAAAAACTTGGTTGAAGTTTTCTGCAAGGGTGTGGAGAAAGATCAGGTTCTGTTGTTTGCCGCTATGGCTTCAAGAATTGAGAACCAGGATGCCATTGATGCAGCCATGGTTGGTATGCTTGCTGATCCAAAAGAGGTATATATAATAACCCTTCTCGTTTATAGTTTTGTGAGCTGTCCAAGAAACAAGTTCTTATGTTTTGATTGGTTTTTACAGGCTAGAGCTGGAATCAGGGAGGTTCACTTCCTTCCATTCAACCCTACTGATAAAAGGACTGCTTTGACTTACATTGACTCCAGTGGTAACTGGCACAGAGTCAGTAAAGGTGCTCCTGAGCAGATCCTAGAGCTTGCTAAAGCCAACAGTGAACTTAGCAAGAAGGTGCTCAATATTATCGACAAGTATGCTGAGCGTGGTCTCAGGTCATTGGCCGTTGCTCGCCAGGTACATGTTTTGCCAGTGATCCTCTTTAGTTTCAGTCTTCTCCTCTGCTTGTAAACAAATGTTTTAACCGTTCTTGTATCCTTATATAGGTGGTGCCTGAGAAAACAAAGGAAAGCCCAGGTGGACCATGGGAGTTTGTTGGCTTGTTGCCACTTTTTGATCCTCCAAGACATGACAGTGCTGAAACCATCCGAAGAGCTTTGAATCTCGGTGTTAATGTCAAGATGATCACTGGTATTAAACAATACTTACTCGTCAATCTTGTCACTATATACTTTACATTTCTTCCTTAACATTCTCTTGTATGTGGCCAGGTGACCAACTTGCTATTGGTAAGGAGACTGGTCGCAGACTTGGAATGGGAACAAACATGTACCCATCTTCTGCTCTTCTTGGAAACCACAAGGACGCAAACCTTGCATCTATCCCTGTTGAGGAGTTGATCGAAAAGGCTGATGGGTTTGCTGGAGTCTTCCCAGGTTATTATCGTTTTGGACTTATTGTTATGTTCATCGCAAAGGCTGTTTTCTTAGGTCTAAGCTTCTTTCTTGGATATATGCAGAACACAAGTATGAGATCGTCAAGAAGTTGCAGGAGAGGAAGCATATTGTTGGAATGACTGGTGATGGTGTCAATGATGCTCCTGCTTTGAAGAAAGCTGATATTGGTATCGCTGTGGATGATGCTACTGATGCTGCTCGTGGTGCGTCAGATATCGTTCTCACTGAGCCTGGACTCAGCGTTATCATCAGTGCTGTCCTCACCAGCAGAGCTATTTTCCAGAGAATGAAGAACTACACTATCTATGCAGTCTCAATCACAATCCGTATCGTGATGGGTTTCATGCTTATTGCTCTGATCTGGGAGTTTGACTTCTCAGCATTCATGGTTCTGATCATTGCCATTCTTAACGATGGTAAGCAACACTGTCCCTTTTGTATGATAAACCTCAAATTCGTTTTTTTCATTAACATGTTACTTACTTTTTTCTTATGTGTTTCTATAGGTACCATCATGACAATCTCAAAGGACAGAGTCAAGCCATCTCCCACACCTGATAGCTGGAAACTTAGAGAGATTTTCGCTACTGGAGTTGTGCTTGGAACCTACCAAGCCATCATGAGTGTTATTTTCTTCTGGGCTGCACACAAAACCGACTTCTTCACGGTACTAATATAATTGAGCTGTTCATTCACTTAGTGTTTTTTGAGTTGTGTACTAAACTTTTACTTTGGATTCACAGGACACTTTTGGTGTGAGGTCCATCAGAGACAACAACAATGAGCTAATGGGTGCGGTGTATCTGCAAGTTAGTATCATTAGTCAAGCTCTCATCTTTGTCACAAGATCAAGGAGTTGGTCATTTGTTGAACGTCCTGGAGCTTTACTGATGATTGCTTTCGTCGTTGCACAACTGGTAAGTTCATCATAACTCTTACATTTTTTAACGGTTTCTTTCTTAAACCAAACATGTTTAATTCATTGGATCCTTTACAAATGCAGGTTGCTACTTTGATTGCTGTTTACGCCAACTGGGAGTTTGCAAAGGTCAGGGGTATTGGATGGGGGTGGGCTGGAGTGATCTGGTTATACAGCATAGTAACATACTTCCCACAAGACGTTTTCAAGTTTGCCATTAGATACATCTTGAGTGGAAAGGCTTGGCTCAACTTATTTGAGAACAGGACGGCACTAACCACCAAGAAAGATTTTGGAAAAGAAGAGAGGGAGGCTCAATGGGCAGTTGCTCAGAGAACACTTCACGGTTTGCAGCCAAAAGAACCTGTTAACATCATTCCTGAGCAAGGAGGTTACAGAGAATTGTCTGAGATTGCAGAGCAAGCCAAGAAGAGAGCTGAGATCGCTAGGTAAAATAATCGTTCCTTCAAAACGTATTTACACCTCTTCGATTGGAATTGAATAATACTAACATAATGATTTGTATTTTAAACAACAGGCTTAGGGAGCTGCACACACTCAAGGGACATGTGGAATCAGTTGTGAAGCTAAAGGGTTTGGACATTGAAACTCCAGGACACTACACTGTCTAAGTCACAAGCAAAGAAAAGAAGATACCAAACATGTGATTGATCCTTTTTTATCCCTTGTTTTTGTTTTCTTATTCTTCACCACCTCTTTAAGGTTATTGTTTGCATAGGGAGAGATCTCTGTTTATTGCCATAACTCTTCCCCAATTCCTCCTATTGCTAGTGTTCTTGTTTCTCTGATATGTAACCTTCTTTAGAAGAATCAAGACATGCTTTTATGTTTGGCACTTTACTCAACACTCTCTACTTCGCTCTTATTCTTATGAGCCTATGTAATATTAATTTTTCTTCTTTGTCCTTAATCAAATTCGTAGCTTTCTTTTTTCATTTGCTTTACTACAAACAAATACAGAAAATCTTTTGTGGACAAAGAAGGAAATACTTACTTATACAAGTGTTTGTTTTGTTTCCACTGAGTCTAAAATCAATTAAAAATACTTTTATTAAAATCCCAACTACAAACATGACATGAGAGTCTGAGACAAGTTGTGTTGTAGTAGTACGGCTAGAATCTTAAGAGAAGATTTGGATGAGTGCGGCGAGTTTGAGACACGTGCATAGAAATGGATGATGACTTCAAATCATGACAGGCACAGTTACATGATGTCATCTGACTTCCTCCATTTAGATAATTTTCTACCCATTTTTTGGTTTCCCATTCTTTCTAAAGCTTATGGAAAATAGTACTAATCTTAATCTGTTTAGTAAGAAATGGCGAACTTGTTAATACTGCTGCTGAATGCAGATAAATGTTTAACGTATCAGTCGGTTATATATATAATTAATAAACACTATTTTTATATAGTTGAAAGTTTATAAATTCTCTATCAACTAAAAAAACGGAAAACAATGCTGGAACAATTATTTATACACATGTATGTCAGCTTAAAATGATTAGAATATTAAAGACAACAAAATAAAACAACAAAGACAAGATAAGGATTATACATAGGCACAAACAGTCTATTTGGCATTACAACCAACAATATCGGATTTCTTTAGATCGATAACAATAAGAATTTTTATTCATTAACGCCCACTGCTATATTTTAGCTATTTTCTAAACCATATTACGAAAGAGAAGGAGGATAAAGCCACGCTATAATACATATGCTCTCGTTCTTATAGAAACAAGAGATAATAAAACATAGATAGATGAGTTTAGTTAAAGCACAAACTCAAAAACAAACTAAAATTACAAGCTAAAATTAAAAGTCAAGTAGTATCTTGAACAATCGACTTAAGAGCAATCGTTTGCAACTCAAGACACTTAATGTAATTGCCAATCTCACTCAGCATGTCTTCCACATTCATCTCTTCACCACCTGGCAAAAGCTTCTGCAATTCCTTCAGTTTCTCCTCTATCTCTCCATCTTCATCCCCACCTTCTTTACCGGATTTTTCTTGAATACAAATTCCTTTGGACGAAGAACTGGTAGTAGTGGTTGGATTGTCTGAGGATGATAGCTTCTGTAGCAAGAAACGGCTCCATGCAAATTCTTGAGCAGACAAAGCCAAAGCCATGTCTACTTCATGCTTCACGGTTAGTTGGTTGATTTGTGAAGAGTTCTTGTTCATGTTGAGCTTCTTGAGTGCAGGAACTAAGTGGCTTGTGTATTTTCTCGTGAAAACTCCACTAGGGGGTATCTTGTTTGGTTCAACCGAAAACACTCGTTTCTTCTTGTTTATGATTTGACTCTCCATATGAAAAAATATTCTTGCTGCAAAGGAAAGTCTACAAGGGAGAAGCTTACATATATAGCAACTTTAGAATATGAGAGATAGTGAGAGAGGAGTGTGTTGGGTCCTACCTTTGTTTGTATGTAACAATGGCTGATGATGTATGTCATTTTGTAGAACTTATTTTGAAGTTAATTTTCATTCTATACGTAAATGAGGTAATATGAAAAAAAAAATGATGTACTATGTTTGTGAGTGCTATTAAGAGCATTATTATCGATAGAGCTCTTCTCCAAGTCTCTTAAAAACTTAAAATTACAATTCTAAAATAAAAATTAAGATCATAACAAGACAAAGAAGCATGAAACTATCCCATGATTTTTTTTGAATTTTTTAAGCAATAAAATGTCTATGTTTTCTCTTTTTTTCTTCCTATGTTTCATTTTTTTGTTAAGTAGTGAGAGAAAAACTTGGTAAGATATCCCTAGTTATTTTTATGTACAAAACACAAAATATTTGAGGATTTGAAAATAGTAGTTAATTAATACCTGGTATCTTTTTCTAAAATAACCACTAAAACAATAAAATGTTATCAACTGATGTGCAAGTGAAAAAGAAACGAATATGTAATATCACAATAAATAATAAATATTACATGTAGGTAATGATGTAAAAATGTATATATATATATATATATATATATATATATTCTGCACTTATATTTTAAATATTATAATATATAAAGAGAGGAGAGGGAGAAGGGAATAATAATGGGTGAGGGATGAAAAAACACATGGAGTCACATGCAAGGGCTCTTATTTGGCTGCATCACAACTACCCCTAAAAGAGGCGCTTTGAGAGTCCGTCCTACCATGTGGCTCTACTCCAAGAACAAGACATCAATACAAACCCCACCTTCTCTTAATGCCTTCACATGTTCCTTTCCTCATAACCCCCTCTCTCACTCAAATACAACCCCCGATTGTATATGCATGTGTATCTGTCCTTGGATTTCCCTAATTTGGATCAGTCTACGTAATTTCCACCATTACATTGCATAGTCTATAGATCTCCCTCCCTCTTTTGCATTTTTTTGATGTACATGATAACTTTTTTGCTTTTTTTTGCTAAAAGCAGATGCATGGTAAATTTTTTTTTTTGAATATATATCAATAGTGGTAGTTCAACCGGTCACCTGAGGTGCAATATATACATATATATAGTGGTATTTTAGTTGGTCACCTAAGGTAGTGTTGTCCAAATTATATCTACAAGAAAATATTTTTAATTTATATATTTAGATTATGTTTGACCGCTCAATTTGCATATGTTATTAGACGGTTATTTCTAAGGTGTAAAAATATTAACATATATCCTTTTTTTTAACTGTTAAAAAGCTCTAAATGTTAATATATATATATCCCAATTTTCTTTTTAAACAATGGAACTAGAAACTGATTTCCTACTGTAATAATTTATATGGCGTTTACAGATTTTAGGGAGATTCAAATCCAATCGTCATTGAGTATAGTTTATGTTGACAGAATGGGTAACTATTAATATGAAAGAAAGTTCATTTGTTTTATTTTTTTGGTTTTAATTATGCTTAGAACTAATGTTCTAAAAATTGCTAGGCGGTAACTAACCGTTCTATAGAAACTTACTGTAATAATTTATTTTGGGCCTACACGGAGAGTAGGCGTTGATGAATTATTGGTTTATTTCATATATATATTTAAATTTATATAAGCTATTTTAGTTTTTTTGCGTTAATTATAATTTTATTTAAATAAATTATCTATATTAGATATACAAAATAAAATAAATTACACAAATTTGTAATTCTTTACTAACATTATTACTTAATTTAACAGATTTATACTAATTTAAACTGATTATAACCGTTTTAGAATATTTTAAACTGATTTAAAAGTCTCTAATGAATCGTATAAGTTAAATTTTAAGAAAATCATTTCGATTAGAGGGGACTTGCCGTCTAGGCGGACACTTAGAACGATATTTAGAACATTGCTTAGAACTTTAATCCCAAAACACGATATACAGAAAAGTTATTCTTAACAAATTAAAATATAATAGAATGAAAATAGTATGTACAAGAATATAGTATCTACAACTACTAAACATGGGCAGTTGAGACATTACAAGTTGTCTATCAATCTATAAAACATGCAATACATTCATTACTATCTTTTGATGTTAACAGCAAAGCTGAATGGTCTCTTATTGTTTTGTTGTTGTGTTCTTCATCCTACCACAGAAAAAGTCAAGGGATAGTATGCAACAAGGAAATCCGAATTGCTTCTAGTTCTTTGTATAGTATTTTATTATCTTTTCTTTTAATGCAATCCCATAAATCTTTGATTAAACGTGCACAAATGTGTTTACGGTAACCATCTAGATGCATTTGGTACTTTACAGATATATACGTATATATATTCAACAATTTTTTTCTGTAATATAAAGGTAGAGTAATTTTCTAGTTGAAAACAAAAGAAATGAAAGCAACCAAGAGGAAAACAATGACATAAATATAAGAAACTAGAGTAGAGCGAAGTACATGGTAAATATTAGCATGCATGCATATTACTTATAGAATTATTTTCCGAAGTTTAATCTAGTTTTAATCAGGAATAATTGATATGAATAAATATTTTTTAAAAATATTGTTGACTGTAAAAAGTTATTAAACACTGATAGCAATTGTTTTAGCATCACATTTCCTAAAATGAGAAGTAGAGTTTATATCAGGAATCAGTGGTTTTCTAAACTCGGTTTACAGTGAACTAGGGCTCTTATTAATGATTTTTGTCTAATAAATTAGTATGGATGCATACCAAATTATCAATAAATACGAGATTGTTACTCCCTCCGTTTCAAATTATATGTCATTCTAGAGTAAAAATTTCGTTTTAAAATAAGTGTCGTTTTATAATTTCAATGCAAAATTTATTGATTTTAAATGTCATTTTATTTTTTCATTGGTTGAAAAGTGGTTAGATGTATAGATAATTGTGCTTTTATTTTGAAAATATGTAAAATTAATTGTTTTCTTAATATGTGTGCAAAAACATAGAATGACAAATAAACTGAAACGGAGGGAGTATATTGTAGACATTGAACAATGATCATATTATCATCAATGCTCTTGGAACTTTGTATAATGAATGGTTTCCTCTGACTATTTCAACAATTCACGTTGAAAATATTGACAGAAATAAATGTATTCTTTCCAATCACACTACCATGCTAGGTAAAGACAGAACTGTAATTATTCAATACTAATATCGTTATATAAAAACAATAAGATACAGACAGTGAATACAACCAATGCCAATAATATTTAAATATAGAACTATATAGAACTATTTTGTCTGTATGAATTAACCACAAAGAAATCGTACAAGACTGTCAGAATAAATATGTACAAAGTCTGTAAAGACTGATGTCGAATATTGTAAATGGCATGTTACGACTTGTTTGTGCTGTTCTTTAATTTTGTTTTCTTTTATATAAGTTTTTCAGTTAGTTAAATTTTGTAAAAAGTGTAAGCAGCAATAATAAATAAATGGACCCATATAGAGGAGAAAAGATATGGCTTGGATTGAGATTTTGGGAAGGACACATCTCATGTGGTTTTGAATTCGAGTGTTTTGTTTTTATTCTTAACTTGGAGCTATTTTCACAATGTCCCCACGTGCACTCACTTCAATGCTTTCTTTTTTACAAAACGTTCGTCACTTTTTTTTTTTGAAACATACAAAACGTTCGTCTAAAAGTCTCAAATGCAAGCATCCTTTCTTCGTGATCAAAATTTAGTATCACGAAAGACACTATGGCTTAATGAAAAAAAAAATCAAGCGTTGCGGATCTAACTAAACATATAGATTAAGTGGAATAAGAATAAATCTAGTGATCTAACTAAACAAATAGATTTGAATTGTAAAAATAGATAAAAACGATCCAAATAACTGTATAAATTAAAATAATTTATTAAAACAACTATATACAATTTAATTTTCATTAGTAAAAGTAGTTATTTTAAATAAATATTTATAAATAGAATAATTTAATTTTTTTACATACATAATAGAAAAATAATTTATATAGCTATTGTCAGTTTTAATATAATTATATATCTAATTTTGGATGTTTTAAAATAATTATAATTTTTGGAAAATAGTATAATAGTTTAATATTAATTGAAAATCAGTTTAAAATATTATATTTTATGAAATAAAATAATACATTGTTAAGAAAGTAAAATATGATGTCAAATGATAATATATATAAGCTAATATGACTTTGAATAGTTTAATAGAGTTTGAATACTTTTATATCATATGAATTCATAATTTGATTAAAAATGAATATTTGTAGACATTTATATGACTGAGACCATATTAAATTAGTATGTATTACATATTATGCAGATAAAAAAATTATTTAAAAACAAAGAGGAAAACTGCTAGAACTGCTTTTGAACCACTGCAAAGATGATGTAAACTATTATCCACTTACGGTTCTTGTTTTTCCTTTACAAAAAAATTCAACATTTTTTAATTATTATAGTTTTACAGGATTGCAAATAATAAAATTTTATGTTGAACAGAGAGTTACACAACTGAGTGATCCACCTTGTGTGAGAAGCACTGAAAAATTGTTCTCCATTCAAACTCCAAGTACTACTGAAAATATAGAGTTAAATACAAGGATTGTCAACTAATAAAACTGCAAGCTTAAAACAAGACATATGTTTAGCCAAAAAAAAGTCTTGTGGCGTCATCCTAATTTCGATCGTGATATACATTTATTTTAATGATTTACTGGTATATATGATATAATTAAAAAATAATACCAAACAAGAAAGTTACTAAAACGACGAAGTTCACCATTTTGCACACGTGTTTTATCATCTACTGTAACTTTTTTTACTGATAACGTTTAGACAATAGATATCTTATTTATTTTTCCATGTTGCTAAACAGTTAATGATATGTTAGTTG